ACAGAGAAGTTTTTCATGTCTTATTTTGTCATTCCCCTCCCTACTCTGCAGATTGCCTTTTCACACTGATAAAATTTCTTATGGGTGTTTCTGGTTTTGGGCACAGGATGATTTTGTTAGTCTGTTCTGGAATCTGTGTGTGTTCGTGTGATTGTTGAGTTTTGTGGTGCCTTTGTACAAAATGTATATAAAGTTAAATAAAACCTTACATTTAATGTTACAGCATTAATGTATATGTTTATACATGCATATGTTTAGGGTTTGATAGTCAACAGCATCACAGAATTAAGTCATTGTATCCAGAGCAGTAATGCTGGAAGCAATTGTCTTCAGCCCTTAACCTCTTAGTGGTGGCACAAGCTATTTGTCCCTTGCTAAACATGGAGTTACAGAGTTGTGTCACCCTGCAGAGAAGGTACAATCTATTACTAGCTGGTCAAAAAAATAAGAAACCATCAGGATCAAAGAAAATATGGCTGCAGCATTTATTTAAGCTGATAGCCCTTTATCTCTGTACCTTTCTAGCTCCTGAATGTTGGAGGACCTGCACATTTCAGGAAACTTTTCAGAGCTTCTTAGTCTTGTCATCACTATTCTCAGAATATCTTTACATCATGCTTTATTCTTGTTTTTTTTCCTAATGGTGACATTTCCAAAGAGATGTACAAAACCAGCATCTTCTCATCTGTCACCTTGGATCAAGCTAGTTTTGTGACATCACACTCCAGGGTTTCTGGTACCAAAATTACTTCCATGGACACAAACTGTAATCTCAAATATAGCTATGGTGTGATGGATCAGAGTAATTTGTATGGGAGGAGGGAAAGAATTACAGTTTCTCTTCTATAAAATAATTTTATATCCTATGATCCTAAAAAGCAAAGGCAGAAAAAAGGGTTAGAGGGAAAGCATAACATACTGGTAAGTTTTAATGTTCTTATTAAAATATCAGCTCTTCAGTAGCAAAGATTAAGGGTTGCTTTTCCTTGAAAGCTTGTGGGCAGAATAACAAAGATCAAGAAATTTATAAGCTGTAATTTATTTAATTTAGTCTGTGATTTGGATTAGCATTTTCCTATAAATACAGAAGTTTAACTTTTCTGTGCTGTTTTAGGCTTAATAGTTCTTAGCACATGAATTATTGGGTGAAGTAGAGACTGGCAAGCAATTAAAATCCATCGTCTATCTGTGGAAATACAGATCTCTAGATGTTCCTTGTTCTACATAACCTTAGCATGGAGAGTTATAATGATCATAAATCTAATACAAGAATTATTATTACCACCATAAAACTGCTAGTTTGTATCACCTCAAATATGTTAATGGTTTTCATGTAGTATCTCATTCAGTGCTTGAACATTAAGATGATGCTTCTCTGCTGAGGGTATTTTAAATCAAAGCTTATCTGGGGTCTGGTTTACTTGATGAAATTGTGTCTTTGAGTGTTAGCCCCACTTCTGTGTATTGTATCTACTCCAGCCTCTGATTTTGGAGTGGTTATGTGAATATGTTTGGTTTTTTGGTTTTGGTTGTTTATTATTCCTCCTTTTCTCTTCTGGAAGCCATCAGGCTTAGTCAGGTCTCTTCAGTGCTTCCCTACTGCTGTGCCTAGGACAGACATTGGCATTCAAGGAACAGTAGCAAGAGTGGAGGAGATCTATATTTAGCTTGTGTCTGTGAGAATTCTTGCTTCCTTTCAGAGAAAGGAGATTGAAATCTTCTGAAGCTGTTACTTTTCCCCCTTGTTGCTAGTGTTCAGCATCAGCTGATACTTGCTTTTCAAAGCAATGTAAAAAATTCATGGATCAAGAGTGTCCCAGTTATCCAAGTCAGTGGCTCCTGTAAGAGCTTTTGGTTATGCTCTGTTTTGTCTTTCATAGATTAAAAATAACCAGTAATTTACCTAGTCTGACTGCTGTACATCAGTCATATACCCTATCCTGAACTTCAGATGTGATTTGGGGTTTTTGTGTTTTGTTTGGTTTGGCTTTTTTATTTGTTTGTGGTTTTTTGTTTGTTTTGGTTTGTGTTGTGTTTTTTTTTTTTTGTGGGGGGGTGTTTTGTGTTGTTTTTTTTTTTTCATAAAAGCATCTATGCTGTTTCTCTGTGTAGTCTTCCAGTTGTCTTGAGGTTACCTATTTCCCTAGCATCTGACTGCTGCACCATATGCCTTTCTATTTTTACCTGGCCTTTTTGTCCTGATTATCTGGAGGTGGTAGCACATGTGGATAAACTCTTATAAAATAAAACCCCTTAAAAAAGGACAAGCATCTTAACTTAGAGTAGCCCATGAATGTATGATTATAATCAGAAATTCACATCAGCTTGTGTTCTTATCTTCGGAAATTTTCTTTTATCTCTGTTTTTTTTACTGTTTCTCATGATTCTTCTTTCAATTACCATGTTTTCTCAGAAAGGCTCTAATCTTTTAACCTAATATTTTTCCTTTTGTATTAATCCTTTTTGATCTCCCTGTATTCTCTCTGATAATTCTTTCTCCCTAAATTCTTTTCTTGACAGTTTTTTCCAATGTTATCTCTGCAGTTTGTTGAATTACATATTCTTGTTGCTCTGAAATGAACTAGTTATCGTATGATGCTTCTTAATGTACTTAGAACACAAGATATTTATTTACTGTTGTTCCATAATTTAAAAGATGCCATACTGTTATGTATGGCATGTGCATTTCTTACCAGTACTGCATGGAAAATAAGATTTTTGCAAATTCAGAGGCAGAGGTGCTCCTGAAGGGAGTGTATTTGGGTTAGTAATGCATTGGTTTCGTTCTTCACTGTGTTGCTTAAAGAAGTTCCTATTTTTGGCCATGTGTTTTTGAAGGGGGAAGGAGAAGAATAAAGAATTTCTATGATTTAGGAACTTGAAAAGACATTTTGCTTTCAAAACATGGGAGAGAGAAAATGTAGCACCCCAGATAAATATGACTTCTAAGTTAAAAATTAAACCCTAACCTCCCTGTGACTAGAACAGAATCTCTATTTTGTTGCAGGATCTTCAGTATTTCAGTGAGATTCTTTTTACTAAGGAAAAAGCATATAACCTTTTTATTTGTAAGGATTAAAATTTGAGAATACTTGCTTGTCTGCCATTGTAAATGTCAGCTTTTGAAAGATAATTTGTTGATACTTGGAAATCTGGGTTAGTACTGCAACTTATACTGCTGAGTTTAGTGGTTGGGAGGATAGTGGGAACAAATGAAAAGTTCATTTGTTTTATTACAGGATCTACAAGATGAAGTAAAGCGGGAGAGCAGTAACCTGCAAAAGCTGCAAGCTCAGAAGCAGGAAGCACAGGAAATTCTTAATGATCTTGATGAGCAGAAGGCCAAGTTGGAAGAGCAACTTAATGATATCAGGCAGAAGTGTGCAGAGGAGGCCCATTTGGTAAGGTCTGGTGGCTCAGGCCCTTTGAAGAGTAAATGCCTCATTGTGAAGAATTTGGCCTTGCAGTGTTAGAGTTGTTGGGGCGGGAGAAGAAACTTTAGTGGATAAACAGTGACTGACTGAACAGGAAGTAATGTGACTCATTTCACTGACCTCCTATTTTAGTATCAGGCTGTCAACAGATATACTGAGATATACTTGCACAAAAATAAGGCTAAGTACAAACAAATAATGCAAAATTATAATGCAATCTAAGTGTAATTAGAAACACTAATTATTTGGACTGATTTTTCAGCAGTTAAAAAGAAATCTTATGGTTATATAGATTATTTTTTTTCTGATAAAATGCTAAAGTATTTCTTTATGGTCTAAAATGGTATTTTCATTATTAGAAATACCTGTGTTGGCCAGGAAGACAGCCAGAATACTCTGATCTTATTGAGACCGATAGAGAATTAACATTGCAGTCAGGTATCATCTCTAATATCTGCAATAGTTGAGGGTTTTTTACTTTTTCTGGTCACAAATAATAGTATTTGGATGTGTGTGTTTGTTGTGTTGGACTTTTTTTTTAAGTTGGCTTTGAAATATTTGTTCATCCTTTAGATTGCCATGCTGAAGGCTGAAATAACAAGCCAGGAATCAAAGATTTCAGCTTATGAAGATGAACTGACCAAAGCTCAAGAGGAGCTGAGTCGCCTGCAGCAAGAAACTGCAGAGCTTGAGCACTGCATAGAGTCTGGGAAAGCACAGCTGGGACCTCTTCAGCAACATCTGCAGGATTCACAACAGGAAATCAATTCAGTAAGGCAGTGTGAAAGACCAACAAAATAATTTGTTTTTAGCTGACATCCTTTAGTGTGGTTTCTCTTAAGGGGGAGGCGTTTTTTCCCTTTTTATTCACTGTGCTCATGTCTGTAGTTGCTTACAGGTGCTCTGTAATAGCAGTTGTTGGGACTCTTAGAGGCTGACTCAAGATACTTCATTATTTTTCTCTTGAGTTTTGTTCATAAGAAGGGATAATTTGTCTTAATGTAATGAATGAAAAATAGATAATGCATGTTTAAATTCTCTGTCCAATAGTTATCTAAACTTTTGTTCAGCTATGGCCTGGGCCATGCTCTCACTATTCTTTAATTGGTGTGAAGTAGGTATAGAAATGCTAACTTGTACTTAATGCATTGTTGAAGGTACAAAGTAAGGTGAGTGTAAGAATAAATTAGATTGAGAATAGACACTGAGAAGCAGATCGATGGCTGCACTGTTTTTTAAGTACAGAACTGTGCTTTGAGGTGTCGGCTCTTTGGTTAAAGGAATACCTTTTAGCTCCTCTCTGTAATCAGTGATTTATTATTATGACTTCAGTGTTGCATTAGCTTGTACACCCTTTCCTCATCATTCTTCTCTCACTTGCCAGCTATCTATGATTCAGAGTAACATCATTATCAAGAGAAAAACAAAACAAAAAGGGTTCCTATTCCTATTTTGAACCCTAGAAATGGAGGCTTTTTGGGTTGGTCATTTCACACAGTTCATGTCTAACTTGTTAACAGTTTGTTTTCTTAATACTTCCACTGCTTGTATTCATGCAAGATCACTTTGTTCTGTGGAAGAGCTTTACAACATAATTTTTAAATGTGGCTTTGAGGTTTAGAAATTGAAAAGTAAAGAAATGGGTTTTTCATTGCTTCATCACAGGTAGAGAGAAGGTTGTGCTATTTCATTATTAATATATGAGTAAGAGGTACTTGCAGTGAACAGATTTAAAGCTGATGCTACATCTTTGTTCACAAATAATAAACAGTAGGTGCTTTTGTGCTTTAGGCAAGCTTATCAGTGGTTGGTCTGAGGTCAGTGTATTTGAAAGATACCCGGGGTTGTCTTTGCTGCCACCTGACTTGTGGCCTGGGCAAGACAATGAAAACTCTTATTAGGTTACTGACCTAGCAGAAGTCAGTGGGGTTCAGATACTTAATGTCTGAACTATCTTCATGCATCTGCATAATCTGCAAAATTCAAAGATTCCTTTGTAACTGGCAGGTTGGTTATAAATGTTTGCTGTGAGGCACTGTGTTAAGCACATTGCTGAAATAATATGAAATAAACTCTTTAGGAGATTATACTGTGGATTTTGTTGAATTCAAAGGTCATGTGGGAGAAGATATAAATTCGTAATTTTCCTTCTTGGAAGATGGGAATTCTGATAAAGCAACCTTTTTAATTTAGAATTTAAGGCAATTGCAAATGCATAATTAAGAAAAAAAACAATATACAAAACAACAACCACCAAAAAAACCCCCCCAAAATAACACACAAAATGAAACCAACAAAAAAACCCTGAAAGTTTTGCAGTTCTTCTTATGAGTTTGAGTAGAAACAAAGCAACAAGTCTTGATGTTGCCAGTGATGCAGTCTGCTTCCTTAGCAGGAGAAGGTTCTCAGGTCTGTTACTCAGCTACATTGCATGTCTTCTAAATCAGATTTGTACCATCTCTCAAATTTCACTCTTTGAAAGATCACATGGGGTTTTTTTATGTTTGCTTTTGAAAAGATTTTAAGACATGTCACTTACATTTAAGAGCAAATGGTCATAGGTTCTGTGTACTGCCATGCTGATGCAAATACATTTATTTCTGTTTACAGGTGCAGACAAAACTTCTTGAGCTGAAAGAGTTGGAAAATTCCCAGTTTAGTTGGCACCCTGAGCCACATCATACGCTCGTTAATGGAACTGCAGATCATTCTAGTCTGAGCAATAGCAGCAGTGAAACTGCTAACCTTAATGAGAATGCTGAAAGGGAAAGTATAGTGGAAGAAGAACAAGCAAACAGGGTGTCTCCAGTGAGTAGTGTTCTGCCTGCTTGATCATGATGTAATGCAGCTGTAAAGCTGGAATCAGTTAAGACTGCATTAAGATTGATTATGTTTTTAAACACTCGCACAAGTGAAATTTCAGGGTGTTATTCTGAGGGACTGTGTTTCAGCAATCTGGGAGTTGATAAGCAGAACAGGAGGAAATTTTAGCTTGGCTGGAAAGTGTCAATTGAAAATTTTCTGTATTTGTTTCCAAACCGAAATGTCATAAATTGAATAGCAGAATTAACATTGAAGGAGAGCAGCTATCTCTAGTTGGTGCAAGAATGGAATAAGGAATAGTACAGTAAATCTAAAGGTGCCTTACTTTAAATGTCCCTCCTTATGTTCCAGTAGATTCTTGAAGGATTTTTTTTTAACTTTCACAGGATTTATGGAACATTTTAGTACATTCTGTAAGAAGTATGAACCTCTTCAAGTATCCTTTAGTATACTTCTTTTAGCTATTTTATAATTAAAATTATATGGTGTAGTCTTCTATTTACATACTTATGGTGAATTTCTTGTATTTTTATGTAGATAAGAAATAGTCCTGAAACAACAGTCTCTGTTGTGGAAGAAGAGAAAGAGACTCCAGCTGCGGCTGCTACCAAAAAAGTGAGTTTGTTCAGATTCAGGAGAGGAAAAAGTAAACTAAAAAGTAAATTAAAAAGTCGTAGTAGAACTGCTTCAGACTTGTATCACAGTCACAGAACAACTGAGAAATAAAGTTGTCACTTCTTACTGTTTTTACTTAGTGTGATATCATTTCATTTCATACAGCAGGCAGGTTGTTGAGAAATGGTTGGGATCTCCCTTAATGAATTATGTGCAATTCTAGCTCTTTTTTTTTTTTTCCCCCATTTTCAGAAGCTACCAAAAGGTAACAAAAAACATGTGTTTTCCATCCTGCATGTCTTAAAAATGTAATACCTTTCTCTACTGCTTTTGCATTGCCCAGGAAGATCCATTTGATGCTGAATCTCATCCATTGCCTGATCTAGTTTCTGAAGCCAGCTTAGAGTTCTTCCAGTCTGACCCTTTTGTTGGCAGTAAGTAACTTCTCTCTCTAAGACCAGATTTACAGAAACGGGTCTTGTATGAACACGTCAGACTAACTTTCACCTTGGAGCTGCTTTTTATGGAATAAATGTGAAGGTGTTTTGAGTGGCAGGAGTGTGGAGCCAATAGCATGATAAAAATGGAAATGAGAGTTCCAGTGTGTTTCTCCTTCTTTCACCTGGACTTTCTAATTAGCTGTGAAAATTGCAGCTTTCCCTCACCACTCTCCTGAGCACCTCTCTTACCTCCCACCCCCTGCAATGTGCTGCAGAGATCCACAAACAGATCAACAGAGAGTTCAGGGAGCTGTGGTGCAGGGAGGGGGTGGGTGGTGGAAAATGAATGGCTGTGTCCTACTTTTGGTGAGTTTAGCACTCAGAAAGGGGTAATGTGGAACTGCACCATCTGTTTGTCTTGTGGAAGTGCTATGCTGTATTTTAAGAACTTGCCACTTAAGAATGCTGTTGCTCTGATTTATTTTTTTTCTTTTATGTTGGAGGAAGTGATCTGTCTATATGGAGCCACTTGGACAAGGGGAGTGAATTTGGATTAACTGCTGAAGCAGATGTTTTCAGCATGAATATGATTTAATGTGCTTTCAGAATCAACATGGTCTGATCAATTTAGCTCATGCCACTTCAAAAGGAAAATAAGCTAAATTTGTTTCAGATCACTTGACTTCCGAAAGAGTATAGTGCAGATTTAATACTTTTAATGAATAAATTATAATTTAAAACAGATTGAATGTTTCTGTGTAGACACTGCTTGATTTTTATTTATGTTGAAGTGGTCCTATTTAAAGCACATGACAAGGCCCTTCTTTCAGAGGAGAAAGATATGTCTGTTAGTAGCCAACCTTTAAGCTTCATGTGCTCAGTGTGTTCAGGGGTAGATGCTTATAGCTAAGAAACAGTACATCTACATCTCTTAGATGTGGATATCACATCTCTTAGATGTAGATGAGGCAGAAAAACTGGTGCATTTAGCACCATGCATCCAGTACAGAACTTAGGAGCTACCATCCATGGCACCTGAGGGAATTAATCAAAAGTGGGACTAAGCTATCAGTGGTTAGCCTGGATTAAAGTAGTAGCAAATACTGCATAATGTGGGTGTTTACAGACAAAAGCCAGAAGTGCATCTTGAGATGGCTGCTTTTGTATGTGTTTCATGCTGGTAATGAGCTACTTGATTAATATTTGCTTTGTCTAACACTAGCTCTTGTCATGGCACAGGAAATAGTGAAGTTATTCCTCTGCATGTGAGTTGTTTAAATTGTAGCTGTAGAACTGAGTTTGTATTCAAGACTTGAACTGAGTATGTGCTTTATGACAAGTAACTTTTTTTTTTTTTTTAAATAAACAGGTGATCCCTTCAAAGATGACCCTTTTGGGAAAATTGGTAAGTAACTTTGTAACTTCTAAAGTGTTTGTTCTTCTAAGTGATTCATACTAGAAGAGTATGTGAGGAAAAGTGTTCCTGCTTTCAACATAAAAAAGATGGAAATGTCCCAGAAAAGTCACCACAGGATAGATATGTGGCAGTAGCAGCTGGCCTCTTGTGTGGAAGCTTTTCAGAGAGGCCCGTTGCCAGTGAACTTCACTCTTGCTATTGAAAGTATCCTTACTTGGGATTTAAGTCTGTGAAGGTGGTAAACACAAGGACCCAAAATCCTGCTGCCTGTTTTGCATGCAAAGAAGTAGGACTATACATTCTTTTAAAGGCTCTCAACTTACTGGCTTTCTTTGGAACTAAATACTGAAAAAGGTAGGCAGTGTATTTAGACTGGCTGGATATGCCATGCCATTGTGGTATTTGCTTAGTGCCAAAAGGCAAAATGGCCAGTAGGAAGGCTCTAGCAAAACAGTGGTTTGCACCAAATGCCAAATAATAAAACATCAGTTGTGTTTGGGGGGTGAAGGAGAGTAGGATAGAAGAGTTCTGAGAAATGTTTACTTCTATAAAATGCTTCACTTTTAGGGGGCTTGGTTAGGGAAGCTTTATGCTTGGGTGATTCTGGAACAAAACCACTGGCGCCATCCAAAGTTTTCATGACATACAGAAGATGTTGGCTTGTCTAATATTTTGATCACAGAATACTAATTACCACAGAATCATTAAGGTTGGAAAAGACCTTCAAGATCATCAGGTCCAACTATCAGCTCTACAGCCCTGTGACCACTAAACCATCTCCCAAAGCACCATTTTTTTAACACCTCCAGGGACTGTGCCTCTACCCCCTCCCTGGGCAGCCTGTTCCAATTCCTCACCACTCTTCCAGTGAAGAATTTTTTTCCTAATACCTAATCTGAATCTCCCCTGGTGCAACTTGACCCCATTTCCTCTTATTCACAGTTGAATTTTGTACTTGAAAAATCTTTGGTCTTAAATGTGTTGCCTTCTTGCAGTACAAAAAAAGCAATATCATGCTTAGTTCTTAAGGTGACAAGCTGAGCAAAGCTAGCAGAAATGTTAATGAGATTTTTACTTTATAGATCCCTTTGGTGGTGATCCCTTCAAAGGCTCAGATCCTTTTGCAGCTGACTGTTTTTTCAAACAATCCTCCAGTGATCCTTTTATGACTGCTGGCTCTGATCCATTTAGCACTGCAGACAACAGTAATAGTACCACAGTAAGTTTGGTAGCATACTTTTTACTTCCTTCTATATGTGATTTGGACAAAATAACTCACTTTGTGCATTTGAACACACCTTTAAAAGTAGATATTCAGAAATCATAGATAAAAGATTACCTCTTACCCCGTGGCTCTGTCTTGTCTTTTTGTTTCATATTTTCTAGAAATAGAACTAAAAATAAAAGCATTTTTTACATGTTTTCCAGTGTGGAGTTTCATTGCTCCACAGATCGCGACGTTTGAGAATGATGTGATAAGTTCAGTTGGTATTTGGTGGAAATTGCTCAACATTAAAAGAAACCCAAGATTAATCTCACCTGATTATGCTGACACACTTTGATTTTTGCCACCAAAGCTTATAGGATCAATAAGTATGTTCTGAATCTTATCTGACATCTGATGTGGTATGGGATTTCCCCTCTGAAAAGTCAACTTGTTTGGATTTTGTTGTGGTTTTTTTTAAATAGGAGTCACTGAAGCCCTCTCATAAAGTGGAGGTTCTTACTGAATATACCTCTTTCAGGTGTACTTAGGTGTAACTTTTTGCTGTTCACATTGAAACTGAGCAGTTATTGATTAGCCTTGAGCTAAGGTAGAGTTGGGTGTGAAACCTTCTCTGATGTAGAACTTGATGAAGATGAGGTAATATTTAGGGCTGATAGACAAACAGTCTAAGAGGCTGAAATTCTTACGTTGTAAGTTTATCTCCATCCTTCTGCCATCTTCTTTCCTTCTCAGTACTGCTTCTGTTCATGTCTTGCCTCCAATTTTGTGTGTATATAAAACGTGTATATGTATATAAAAACTAAATACACATGTTGATTAGGAAGCAAGTTAAGTGGCTGTAGATTGTGCCTGAGGTGAACCCACAACAGCCAAGATAGTGAGAAATCACTGCACCTAACAGTGATGTTCTTGCCATTCCACATGGTGATCTGCAGATCTCAAGGTCATATTACACCTCCAACCTTAAAAACCTAGTTTTCTACACTCTTCAATACTTACTCAACACACTGTCCTTTGCCAAGTTTTAATATTCTAGTATAAGCAATTCTTGGTCATATTATAGTCTGATAATAAGAGAAGTACAGAAGAGGAGAGGGGGAAAAAGGGGTGGGTCAGAGCTGTGGTGTGGGATTGGCAGCTGATTCTTGTGAGACCTGGTATTTCTGAACTGAAGTGAAGTTATGCATTCATCCTCAGTGCTTTACCACACCTTTGTGCTGTTGATAGTTTGTATGTGTCTTCCTGAAGATGGATGGCTCTGGTGGTAGAAATGTGAGTGGTAGATATTCTTACATTTTGTGTTACTGGTTGCAAAGTGTGTTTTGCACATACTGTACTTTTGTTTTTCTATCTTTTTAAATCATTAATCACTGTTCTGAGGAAGAGTTTCTGTTAGCAGCCTTGTTTACTGATTCTGAAAAAAAGCTACTTCCAACATAGTTTAGGAGTTTTAAGATAAAATAAATTGTGTTTGTATTCTTAGAATGAGGAATTGTTCAAACTGAAAACCAAATTTCCCTCCAATGTAATTTTTTCATTTTAGACAGAGACATTGAAGAAGAATGACCCTTTTGCTCCTGGTGGAACAACTGTTATTGCATCAAGTGATCCAGGTAAAAGTAGATTATACATGTCAGACTCTTCGGGTTTTATTTTTATTTGCTTTTGCTTATTTTTGTTTCTAGCCCTTTAGCTGATTTTTGCGATGGAGCATTTTAGGGATTTCCTAAGTTTTATGAAGTTTCCTACAAAGTATGACATAAGCTGCAGGTTTTGCAGGGGAGGTACTCATAAAACAAAACTTTCATTACATGTAGTGCCTATCACTGATGAGTGATTCTGCAGACATGTTCCTCTGCACCCTGATCTAAGTGCTTGGACTATATGAATGGTTTGTACTGCTTCCCATTAAGAGTTGTTTTTAGAGATTTCATGTTAATATCTAAGTAACATACAAGATGGTTTTGTACTACAAGAGATGTGGGATAGAATAACTTCTTCATCAAGAATTTTTACTCTTAAAGTTTGCTCCTTTTGTTTTGCTCTAACACTTTCATCTGATGGCTAAAGGTGGTTTAGGGAAGACTATTACCCATTTTCCCAACTAGCACTGTCAAGTAATCCAAAACATGAATCCATGTGTGATGTCATATGATAAACCTGTTCAGCTTAATGGTAGGGAAAAAAATGCAGTTTTCTAGAGATGCAGAAGTATTTGGTAAAGACAGAGCACTTCTTGCTTTACAATAGAACAGCAGTTTTTGCGTATTTTGAGGCACATAAGAACAGAAGGGTACTTACTGCTGAGTTAGATTGAGGTGATATGGGGTTTAGATTCTTTATTCCACAAGTGAGCCTACATTCAGAAGTGAGCTCTTCATGCTCATGTATATATTTTTGTGTAGGTATATTTGTGGCTGTATGCACACAAAAATGCCTCTGTATACAAACGTATCTCAGCAGAACATCCAGTAGTATGGTTATTTGATCCTTTTAGTGAAATATAAATTTTCAGTGTAAAATACCACTATTTCTTTTGAATTATTCAGGAGAATTCTTATTCTTAATAGATAGTTGACACTTAGACTTTTTGTAAAAGCTGCTTAACTTAAAGTGCCCACCTCATAAAATACTTCAATTTAATCAGTCAGTACTGCAAAAGATGTTGTAGTTGTAGGATTACTTTTTTTTGTAGTTGTAGGATTATTTTTTTTGTTGTTCTTTCATATATAACTTTTAATTTCATTCTGTTTGCTTGATTTGTGTGTATTTAGCTACTGACCCTTTCGCCTCTCTGTTTGGAAATGAATCCTTTGGAAGTGGCTTTGCTGACTTCAGCACACTGTCAAAGGTAATGTGAAGCTGCTGCTGCTCACAAAATGCATGAACCTCTACAGAGACAAAAAATAGTTTCATCTCTCCACCAACAGTTGTGTTAGTTTTGACACTACTAAAAATTTATCATAGCTGACATTTTAGGAGAAGAGTTCTTGATAGTAAATTGTTTTCCAGTTTCACTGTGAAGAATGCAATGTAATATTTATACTTTATACTTTGTCTTTATATGAAATGATATTATAGCTAACTGAACTCAACTCTATATTGCTGTACATTAAATTTTTCTATATTTTAAATCTCCTGGAGTTATGTGGATGATACAAACAAACAAAAATAATTTCTTTTTTTCTTAGTCCAAGCTTTCAGTTCTAAATAAATATCCTGTCATTAAAAAGAAGGGTAGGTGTAGTAGAATTGCACTGAAAATGTTTGTTGCTGTTTTCTTTGTTGAAGGCCAACAATGAGGATCCCTTTAGTTCTTCCACATCAGGCTCTGTCAGCAGTGTGATCATAACTAAAAACTTATTTGAGGAACCACCAGCTAAAAATGAGGATGTTCCTCCTGCGTTGCCCCCAAAAACAGGAACTCCCACAAGGCCCTGTCCACCACCACCTGGTAAGAGCTGATGCTGAGATGTTGTCAACAATTGGCTGCTTCAATATTGGCAGTGGGACAGTAATTCTGAGGGGACTGCAAAGTGTTTGAATATAGAATGAATGAGCAAGATGTGAATCAAGCCTGTGTCTCATCTCTTGGTTGTTATCTCAGAGTTAAATTTTGCATGTGTTTTGGGATCATAGCTTGTTTTTTGAAGAGAGAAAGGATTTAGAAAACAGAAAAAGAGTTATTAAGAACACTAGCAAGAACAAAACATGGCTGCAAATTAAATGGATACTAATGTGTTGTGAATCTTCCATTAATTTGTGCTTAATGTGAGAATCCAGTGTGTTTTATGCATTTTGACACCTCTCATTTTAATGAAAAGTTAATTAAAAAGGATTAAATTACTCTCAGATTTTCAGATTAACTTTTCCCAGGTGGCCTTTTCAGAGGTCTGTCGTAGTAAACCTAGCTAAGTCAATGGAATAGTAATAAACCCAAGTTTCCTGTGTTGTTTTCTGTTCAGTGATGGCCGAGTCCTCTGGTGTACTCCGTGGCACAAACCACTCTGCTTTCTAGAAAAGGCCACGATTATCAAAGATAAGAACACCTTCTTGTGGTTGCAACAAGTCTGTGCTACAACAGACTCCCCATTCTCAATTTTTTTGGCATAGATTGGAAAATACATTACTATTATTCCTTTCTAAGTCTCTGTCCTTTGTTTCCTTTTCTTAATAAACTACTGCATAATTTTTTTTACTCTCACACTATGTGGATGAATTTTCAAGTGTTTTGGAAAACTAGCATGGAACTTAAATGTGTTCATCTTTTTTTTCCTCAGAAGAGGATCACAGTAAATATAAGAGTATTAATATAAACGTTGTGTTTAATTTCTAATGTTCATGTGAGATCTGGTTCACGCTCATCCCTTGCCAATAATCTCTTTCATTGTAAATAACGTTAAAACAGCTGACATGACAAGTGATGATAATCTGAATGCTTGATAGTGTTTCCTTTTAGTGTGGTCCCTAATTGAAAACAAAAAAAGGGATTTCTGATGTCATTTATGGGAGTAGCTGTGACGTGGTTTACAGATCCACTTTTAGAATACAAGCTTCTAGGGGGAGAACAGCAACATCTTTATTGATAGGTGACTCGAAAAAAATTTGCCTGTTTTGATTTGCACATATAAAAATGACACTGTGGTCATCGTGATAACTAATCCAAATAAATTATTGTCTTAAGGGAAATTAAAAAATGAGATATTTCTGTGTATTTGTTTTTAAGTAGTCCCTTGGTCTGATTCAAAACAAGGGAATTCTTTTTCAAATAAATGCTTCAAAATCTTGATTTGTCACAGTGCTGGGAAGTGTGTAGAGGGGCTCTTTGCTTGCTTCTGACATCTGCTGCCTTTCTAGATACTGATTAGCACCTGTTTCATTATTTTTTGGCAGATTTGGACATTGTGTATTTCATATTCTTACAATTATTAATCCTTCCTGTGTAGAAATCAAGTCCCCTGGATGTGATTTGCAGCTGCTTCTCCCATACTTTTTGAGAAGTAGACATGCGTTATTTGCTAGTAGTAGAACATCATTGGTGAATAAGAAGTATCATGGCAAAGTTATCTGAGAACTGTCTTATGTAAATGACATTTTTCGGGGGGGGG